TGAACACTTGTGGTAGTTCAAAATAAGAGCCGCTTCAATGTGTGTTGTGTGCTGCCATTTACCTTACAGCAGTCATACATTTTGGTAAATGGGGCACAGATCAACGATGAGAACACACAAATGCGTTCGAATTGCAGATCCAGTGTGAACATCAAGGTTAATGGTACAACGTATGGAAATGATGGGAAATGTGCAATAGACAGGGTACCTTGTGGTACACGAGGTCTGCAAGTTTACTTCATTACTCTACCCTTCACGCTCCTGCTTCATTCGCCTCCTAATAGTTGGGGCTCCAGTCTACAAAAAAACGACTGCGTCTGCTAGTCATGTGTGTGGTCTACCTAGACTGCAGTGGATTCTCCACCAACGTGGTGCCAATGGGCGCCTTCCGTGCAATTATTTGATGCCTTCTCTAGAAGGAGCCCTCGAACTGCAATGTGTCAATGTCAGTGTAAATGATTTGGGGATAACAATATGAGCTGGGAAACGACTTCAACTTGTGCAGCTTGCGGACTTCCATTAGGTATTTCCCAATGGTGGCAAAAGTTTACCTTCCACTGCTAATTTTACAAACAAATGTCACAGAAATTGTTTTCCACGAAGAAACTATTACTTGAGGTGGAATGGTGAACAAAAACCAAAATGTCACATTCAATACTTTACGAAAGAGGCGGAGGAAGACGAGGACAAAGTCATCCTCACACTCCACTTACACACGTTTTGCATGCGATTTCGTTGAACTTAGCACTACAGTACAGTACACTGAAAGGAGCAATCGCTGGCTCACTCATTCACTCACACTCAATCACTCACTCAAATGTCTGTTGCATTTACAATTCAGCCTCACATCACACGTCGAAGTTACAGACCATGATCTTAGTAATCAGACAACAACAAGACCAGACATCTCCAATGAGCCAGGAGATCAGCAAGGGGCATACAGGGGAGTGTTGACTCTTCTATTCAGTTTCTAACCTTTGCATTACGCTTCGCTATACTGCCATGCACAGCCCCTGGTACAAATGGATTTGCCTGAATCATGTTCCACGCAGTCATGAAGAATCTTGTACAACCATGCATCCACATCCCAAACCGTGCCACACTGCACTGCACGCACAGCTCCGCACAGCCTAGCTATCACTGTCCAAAGTCATTCTATTTCTTCTCTTGTGTGTGTGTGTGTGTGAGTATGCTTGTTGGTGGAGCTGCCATCGACATCCTGCTTCCGAAGGATGCAGCAGCAAAATACGTGCGGTATCACTTTCCCATTAACGAAGACGCAAGACTTCACCTGCCAACTCACTCACTCATTCACTCAATCAATCAAATGTCTGTTGCATTTACAATACTGCTACTTGCCTGTCCATTGTGGACACCTTTTAGGTGATTCTACACGTAACCATTACGGGTCAGGCTACCATGACATCCTCCTTCCCAATTTGTTGCCACTTCATCACACCAATATCCACACTTCTCCTGTCTCATGCACTTCTCCTTAACACCTGCATTCATGAGGAGGATGCTGGAACAACACCCTATTGTCATAAATACCTCATCAGTTAAATGGAGCACGGTCTATCAACTGTTCATCGCCACGGATAGGTGCCAACTCCATTCATCTCCTCTCCCTGTTCCACCACTAACACCCCAGCAGCAGCCAGCTATGCATACTTCACTTTACATCACTTACTTACTTACCTGCTTACTTACATACGTACTTACACACAGACAGACATGCATGTGGACTCTTCCATCTCAACAAGCCTTCTACTCCGATTATCCATCAACACAACTTCCAAAATAACCTCTTTTGGAAAACTGTATCAGAAACCACGTAGTGATTGTCCTCTTCCATCAAGCGAAGTGATTGCACTCAGGCAAATGAGGGAGTGTTATATGGACTTCGTTCCTACACCATAAGGCGTGTGCGAAAAGCCGGATCGACGAGCCTGACGAATTAGAATGCAAAATCGAGTCCTGTGTTTGGAAACGAGGTTTGATTTACCACACACTACTATCGTGGGTGGAGTCTACGCAACACGCAAATCGGGTGCATGTCAATGGATACGAAGACAGTGGCATTGGTCAATGCAGAGTAGTGATTCGATTGTAGATTCCAACAATGTGCCTTGTTCACGCTTTGAATAAGATGCTTTCATCTTGTTGGCATGACCTTCTGGTCGTGTCTGCAGCTTCCCAGACCTTCTCTGAGTTACTCATAAGTCTCCGCCCACATTGATATAGCCAATTACAACTTCCGGTGGCACTGGAGGTGCTAGAGCACGAGCTCATTGTGAAAATTTGGAATTCCCTCTTGATTTGCTTGTGCATGTGTATAAATATTTTGGGATAAATTCCCTCACATCCGTACACTAAAATCGTAAGCACGTGAATCTCCTGAACTTCCCATGTCTGTGGCTCAGCATTTGTTTAACGGCAAAATTTAACTAAACTAGCACCTCAGACTCCGGAATTCGTCATTTCGTTGTAGCGGCATGGCCGTACACTTATACCTCTATGCGTCGGCTACTCGGCATAAAAGAATATTTTTTGACAACTGCGGCTGCTGGAGGTTACGAGGTGCTGCATTGTTGGCAGGCCAGCGACAAGTTAACACGAACCAAAGCGACAGCAATCCTGTTTTTAATGACTGAGTACTTTGTTACTTTTGCACTGATTTTAATGTGATGGCCAACGCAGGCTGTTGAACAGAGATCATCAAATGTAACTATTGGAATAAGAAAGAGACAACTAAATGTGTCCATGTTTCCTTGGCAACTTTTTAATGACACCTTTAGGTTATCTCAATTATTTTTGTAAATACAGCTACACAACTAATCTATTGCCAGGGTGGGATAGCTTTTTGAGTCCCCCTAAAAGGAGTAAAGGTTTTACAAAATGCCGTGTAATACGATGGTTGTTTATCCTTCGGTATTATCGAGGAGCCACTTTCGACTTGGCCCTTGTACCACCCCGGGTGGGCTGGCCTTTGAGCCATGCAGTAGCCCAAATGCCTTCTCTGTGCTGAATATGTATATCCTGCCCGAGTGTTGTGTCTTCTTTTGACTTCAGGGAAGTCTTGGGACACTACACTTTCGTAAGATACGCAATCCATGCTTCAATACGATTGTGATTAACGTGGGTTATCGGTGTGATTTGCCATTCAAAGTCTCTCTAAAGCAATTCTAAAGATTTTGAAGAAAGGAGATTCCTTGTTGTGATGAACAATTCAAAGTAATTCCCTCGGGCATTGCATTAAATATAATTAACCATATAGACCGTCAAAATACTGTTCTTTTTATGCTGTTAAGAGTCAATTTTTTCGCTGCACGTATTAAGGCGCAGAAATGTAGTTATTTTGCACAATATTGACATTTTTCATTTTGAATAGAATATCTATTTATAGAGTTTTTATACTTGACCAAGCCGACTAACTCAACCTTGAACTAACCAATTAATAGAAAGGGTTTTGATCACACTTTCCAAAATGGGTGTTTTATTTGCTCGAGTGTTTTTCATTGGTTCCCAAGGTATTTTTGCTTTTTGGGGTGTACTTATCGAATGGTTCCACAGTCTGTGCTTTAATGGGGAATATTATCCAGCGAAAATCTTCCACCGAGCCATGTAGGACTGTCTATCCGTGCACATCATATCCTCGTGATATGGTTAATTTTGAGGATCCAAATGCGAAATTTGCCAATAACTATGTGAAGACCACCAAATACACGTTCCTGACGTTCTTGCCACTTAATTTATGGGAACAGTTGCATCGATTTGCAAATTGTTACTTCCTTTTTATCGTATTTCTCAATTTTATGCCGAGAGTTGAAGCTTTCGCCAAAGAACTGGCTGTAATTCCTGTATTGGCTGTCTTGGCCTTTACTGCAGTTAAAGATGGTTTTGAGGACCTGAGGCGTTTTCGCGCAGACCAAAAGGTTAATGGTACGGAGGCAGACGTCTTCTCCATGTAAGTTATGGACATCACTCGCTAGCCTACTTCATGATAGCATCGCTTTACACGTTCTCCAATACTTATTTGATTGACCTGTGCTATAGATATGCTGATCACATCCTTATACTTTTGAAGACGATGAACCGAGTTGATTTTAAGGCACTATTATAATAATGAAATTAACGTATGTGTTTTTATATCATATTTAAACATGATGCTGTGATTCGGGTTGATTTTGCGGTTTCAGTGAAGAAAGGCTTTATGTAAGACGAAAGTGGGCAAACATTCGTCCAGGTGACTTTGTAAAACTACATACAAATGAGGTCATACCAGCCGATATTTTGCTGTTGAAGTCTTCTGAAATTTCCGGAATGTGTCACATTGAAACGGCTAACTTGGATGGGGAAACCAATTTAAAACAGCGTGAATGTGTTCGCTCTTCCCAAATCCAAGTAAGTAGTTTCTATTTCTTTTCCACACTTTATGCTGTTATTGAGCATTTGGGGCATTTACGTTTTTTGTGTATTTGCTTAAGAACTTCAAATGAACTAAACTTTTGTGCAAAATTGAAGTCAAATAAGCAGCATGATATATGGCATTCAGGTTTAGGGTGACGACACTGTAGAATATGAAGTTTTGACGAGAAGTGAACTGATCTATGTGAACCAGAGTTGACTTTTAGGAACGCCTATAAAGCCATAAAAGCTCTTCATAGCCTTAGCATATGCAACTTTTAAATTCGGCAAAAGTGGACATCATTTTCAAGGCCTTTTTTTTAAGCACAGGTACATGGACATTGACAAGGACTCTATTTACTGTTTTTAGCACTGATGCGAATTGCCACCTACCCCATAATACTTTATTGAATTTAAAAGTTTTTGAAGTTATTGAAACTCCTCGTTCTCTAAAATCCCCATTCTTACATATTTTGAATTTGACAATGTAAATGTCAACTGAATCAGTAAGAAAATGATGTTATTTTAAGAATTAATGTAACACAAATTATCCTAAATCTATTGGAACATTCATGTAGTTTATTTTTGACCTGAAAATCTTTGAAGTGGGTCCTCGTTTATGTAAGCCTTTTGTGGGTGAGGATGATAACAATGTGATCTTTTAACAGCTTGAATGAGAGCGGTAAAGTGTTTAGAGGCTCTTCCACTTTGTCGATAGCAGATCACCTCAATTTTTGGCTTTCATGAATCGCGGCTTTTTGGCTACTTTTTTCACTTATTATCGAGACTCAATGTTTGGACAAAGGTACTTGGATAAAATAATTTCTAGTGTGGATTTTTGACTGATACGGAAGTTTGTCGCCTTGCTTGCGTTTGACTGCCTAACTGATGTGATGACGTCGTTAGTGATAACGTAATCTGCTAAGAACTCGTGTTAAAAGTGTGAAGTACATTTTCTCCTTTTTCAATCTTATTTAGGCCTTCACACCGGAGGAATTTCTCTGGCCCGTTGAAGTAGAAGCCCCCAATGCTGAATTATATCACTTCAGCGGCAGGATGTAAGTCAATTTTCTCGGTTTTTTTTGTTGAACTCTGTGACTCGTGCTTCCGGTGCCAAGATGGTCAAGTGCTGAAACGTGATTCGTGTTAATAGAACATAGCAAACAAGTTGCTCCGTCGTATACTTAATACTTTCGAGCAGAAGTTAATTTCTTGTCCAATGTGTACTTACCCACTAAATTTTACACTTTTCTTATTTCTGTTGCGCTATTATGCAAACATATCTAAGTAACATGACAAGTTTGTCTGTGTGTGGAGTTTTTGTAGACCATTCATCATTGATTTAAAAACAGTTAGCTAGCATAAGCTCCTTTTTTGTCGCTTGGGAACCATTAACTGTCTTAAGTTCTTTTTTAGCCATACTCCAGCCCCAACGGTTGTTAGGAAGGAGAACCTACTCCTTCGGGGCTGCATCCTTCGTAATACCGATTCGGTCGAGGGTATGGTTATTTATGCTGGTAAGAGGTAGTCTCCTGTTGGATTCTTTTTCCTCAGAAATGATTTTATTGCTTCTCATTGCGGTAGGTTCTCCTTTTAATGACATTTGTCATCACGGTGCACGATAGTCTGATTTCTTGGCTGTTTGGTTTGTTGGATTCACTTGTCAAATGGGGGCCCTTTGGTGGAGAACAAAACAAAATCAAAACGGCTTTTTTTTTCACCATTTAAATTATCTAATCTCACATAAAACATATCTCTTATGGTCTGCGATCGTGGGACAATTTCCCTCTCCAAGCTCGGTAGCAACTATGGCAAGTTAGGTAAATTTGATTTCTGTAACAGCTAAATGAAGACATATGTTCTCGACTCCACAGGAGGAATTGCAGTGTTTTATTTCACCGGTGCTTACTTCGTTACTTTCCGCCACCATGTGTCAGGTGTTTTGTTACTTCTGTATGAAATAACATAGCTCCTTGGGGCTTTATCGCAGCACAGATGGCCCCTTAGCTCTTGGAGTAGGTTAATGTTCGGCTCGTATTATGGCAGCATTGCTCTCTACCGCACAGAAGGTAACACGTATGTTTGCATTCACTAGGTCGCGAAACCAAGGCAGTTCTCAACAATTCTGGTCGCAAGTTCAAACGAAGCAAGTTGGAGAGGCGCCTAAATAAGGATATTATCTTATGTATCCTTATTCTCGCAATTTTGTGCGTCACTGGATCTGTTGGTGAGTAATAAATATATCAGGGTCTTGTTAACTCAAAAGTTTGACGACTTTGGCGCACTTTGCTTGATTCAAAAGCCCAGAGGTGTGCCAGCTGACTAGAAGGACCAACAAAAAGTTCATACCTTAGGCAGTCTTGTGCAGTTTTTAATCTACCGGTTTCATTTACTGACTCATTCCTTCTTTCTTCAAGGCAGCTATATCTGGTTGAGTAGCCTTCCCGGTGCGAATATTCCCTTTCTTGAAACCGAGGAATCTGACAATGTGGCTCTCAGTGCTTTCATTAACTTCTGGACGTTTGTGATCATTTTCCAGGTAGGCAATGGCTCACTTTTCCGGTAGTGACGTTGCATTGACTCCCTTGGTGTATATCCGAGAAGTACTTATCATCATACAACATTCTATTTTGGCATAAAAAGTAGAAGGTCAGCCTATTTTATTTATATTTTTGCACATTCGTCAATTGGAATTCCACGGATCAATCTGCTCTCCCTGTAGGCCGTGATCCCTCTGCCGCTGTACATCACCGTGGAGGGTGTCAAAGTTTTACAAGTTTTCTTCATGCATCGCGATCTGGGTCTCTACGACGCAAAACGAGACCGGGGCGTGGAGGTGCATGCCTTCAACATTCCTGAGGACCTGGGCCAAATTGAATACGTCTTCTGTGACAAGACGGGCACTCTGACGGAGAATAAGATGGTCTTCAAACGGGCTGTTATTAATGGCATTGACTACTGGGTTGATGAAGGTAATGGAGCTCGTTTAAGCCCTCTGATGGGTCCCATTTACTTACCGGTTTTCCATTTGATGGCTTTTTCCATTCTAGAGTTACCTGTGGAAGTGATGGATGAGAACGCCTTACAGGATACAGATGTGAGTTGACGTTTCAGCAATCAATTTTTTCGTTTTTTATAACTACTTTTGCCGTGAGATTTGCGGTTGAAGGTGCGGGTAAGCTAGTGAATGAGTGACTGCGTTCACGTGTCTTGCCTGGTCCCAGCTTCGCCTTGTCTCTACTTACATTTTACTCGCTCCTGCGGCATTGCACACGTCGCACATTCAAAACACGCCTCCTTTGTTGTTCGGGTTTTTTTAAAGATGATGGTTTATATCTCACCTTATTCCCTTAGCAGTATGCAAGCCTTAAAGTGAATTTATTGCCAATTATCTGAATAAGAATATCTATATGGCTGGAGATATGGAAGACTCACGTAGCTAGATATGCAAGTTAAAAAAGTGTCATTCTCGTTGTCACCTTCTAATTGGTTAATCCTGTTTCGGTAATAATCGCAACATCCAAGCTTAATGTGTTCAATAGCATACCAGGTAAGGAAATCATCTGCTAATCCTCCTTCTAAATAAGGAGACCTTCAAATCCACTGATAGTCTTGATTTTGAAAGATTTTATGCAGTTTTTATTGGACAAGTGCCCTTCCTATGGCAATTTTTATTTGTAGAAACATTTGCCTAAGGGCTAATTGTTAGGTACCAAGTAGCTTCATTGGGTTACTTTGTTCCTTAAGGCGCCTTAGTCCCCTATCTGCGTTATTCTCGTCTTGAATCCTAAAAAGCTATCAGCTCCCTACATCACACTCATGATTTACAGATACAGCCCCACATCAGTAAAACCTGACTCTGCAGATATCTACTAGTACTGAAGTCATCAGACACAATAAGGTGACGCCAATTTCAGTCACAGAAGGGTAACTGGAGATCTTACGTTTGCCTGATCATGATGGTTCCTAAATCACAACCAATAAAGTATTTGCATGTGAATGGTTGTCTGTATCTGGACCCCGGGTCAGACATCACTTGCTTGTAGTGAGACGAAATTGTGCAAGCGATGGGCAGTTCTATTCATGCGAGAAACGCTGAACACAGTACAACACGACACAATAAGGCACTATTATTCACGAATATCTTAATTTTAAGGAATGATTAGTGATGATTGGCGCGATGGAGGAGGATATTCTGGCATAATTCAAGCCTACTGGCAAAGGTCGGAATAGGTAGAGAGAAATAAAAATGCAGTTTACACTGCTCGCAAATTTTTCCTTTCCATTCATTTTGGCCTAAATTCCGATTCCTAATTGACAAGAGAGTAAATGTCTTTTCAGGAGACGGTTGTACCAAACATACCACTATCAGCAGTGCGTGATTTCATTCCGTTCGTGCCGCCTCCGTCGTTCAGCTCACAGCCCAATTTCGGACGCGTGACCAGTCACTCTAGCCCCGGTTTGGGATCTATGCCTCCGTTAGAGGAAGGAAATCAGACCTTGGACTTTCTGCCACCATCATCACTCCACGCATTTGATGGAGGCGACGGGAAAAGCAGGCGGCGCAAATGCCAACGAGTTCAGGACTTTTTCCTCTGCCTCACCATCTGCAACTCCTGCGTCGTCTCCGCCAATAAAAATGTTCCCGCTCCGGTGTGTTTTTTAACATTTACGTTTAAGGACGAACTAGTTAAGTTTTTCGTTTATTTTAACTGACTGCCTACCGCTGTCATCCCTGCCAATGTGATAAGTTATGGCAGTGCAGAAGGGCGATCTATAGTTGGCTTACAGAAGAGCTGGAAAGCTATAGGTACGGAGGAACGTCGATGCCACCAAGGTGGTGGTAGAACTCTCATAGACTGGCAGACTTCAATCCCATTTCCCACCAGACGGCAGTAAACAACTGAAATGCCATCAAAATTAATTGATTTGAAAAGTCCATTTTGAGTGTGTCCATGACAATTACTACGAAGTTCGGTGGCTAACTTAAACACTTACCACCTCTTCTATAATTCTAAAAGCTGACTGGGAGCTATATAAACTGTTGAGAATATTGAAGAGAGTAAAAGCTGTCGATGATGAACATTAGATTTGTGCTGCTTGTTAATAGGAATTGGCAAGTGAAATCCGCTAATCCCTCCTTGAGCAACACGTAGACGTCGAATGCTCGCAGTAGAGTTCACAAGGGGGACGGTGCTGTGGATCCATCGAATTCGACCACATCCATAGCTGACGTCGGATTTAAATGCCTTTCCAACTAGGAACTTTAACTTATGACCTTCACTTTTAAATTGTGGGGGTTTTTGAAGTACTAAGGGAGAAGAATGCCTGAGCGAAGCACCGGAGAAGATGCACAAAAGACAAAGTGGATGGTGTAGTCCACTAGTGGTGTCACTTCGGTTCTTGCTATTTTGGAGAGCACATGATTGGATTAATTGTCAAATATAAGCTTGGGTTAGATGAGTCCTCTCTGATGGGTCGTCGCGAGCTGAGCCGTCCATGTCATTTACCTTCTTTTGTGGTATTTAGGTTCTGTATCTAGCGTCGGGTTTGCTTTCCGCTTCCAACAATACAGCACCCCGAGTCATCTCTTAGGAACTAAAAGTTCAGAGGAAATTAAGAGCATTATCGTCCTTATCAACGGCCTTTAGTCTTGTGCTTGTTTCTGGATCCCTAAATTCCCTTTCCGTTGCAGCTCGTGCCCTCACGCAAGAAGAACCCTTTTGCCCGCTTGCGTCGAGGAATGAAATCGAAAGGTGGTGATGAGGCTTCTCTCTCCTCGTCGCGTTTCCGTCGTTTCTTCATCCGTAGTTCTCGGGACGAGATTTTTGAGGTGGGGGAAGAGGCGGTAGTTGACTCAGAGAGAAACGAAGCTTTTATCGCCGCTGAAACTGCTAATACTGATGACACTTTACTTGATCGATCCATGCGCAAGTCGTTGAGCATCAGCAATCTCTTCGCCTGGCGTCAGCGCAAGTCAGACACGTCGACGTGGGAGGTGGAGGGTGAGGAGAGCCAGTCTACCCGACCTCCGAAACGCGTGCTTGCCGCTCTTGTGGACTCACCTCACCAGAAGGAAGGCAAACGGAGCCTCAAAAGTCTCATTAAATTTAGATTCTCCAATACGGGGGCTGTTGGTAATGTACCTGATACCGTGGCCTCGCTATCCGAGACACATGAGGATAATGGATCTCGTAAGATCGGCTCCAAAAACTCTCTGAAAATTCCAATGCTATTAAAATCTGGTTAGATGACTCGATGATCTGTTTCAGAACCCACAGGAAGTTGTTCCATCTCCTCAGATGATGAGAGAGTGGTTGAGCCTCAAGCACGACCCGCTAGGCAGCCATTGTTTCAGCCCAAGGCAAAACCCCCCATCACGAAGCAGTTTAAGAGGCAAAATATCCAACAGCAGTCAGCTCCAATTCTCTCATCAGACTACGATGATTGGGAGGCGCTAAGTCAAGCAGGCTCATCAACTCGGTGGCGCGATAGCAATAGCTCCCTACTTGATCGACCTTTTCACCACATCTGCCCGCTTTCGGAAAACACCCTCCTTAGTGGCTATGAATCTGAGAGTCCGGATGAAGTGACCCTCGTAAGAACGGCGTGCAAGTATGGCTGCAAATTACTGCAAAGGGGCACAGATTTTGTCATCATCTGGTTGCCGGGTAAGAAAGTCATCGGTGTATAACTATTATGATTTACCAGACTTCTCATACAGAATGCTCTCTTATGCAGTACAATTGCTAAATACTGCAAGATTGTTAGATCTTGAAAATCCCTCATTTTTATCGGCTCTAGTGGAAAAAAAATGGAGCAATTTAGTAACCTCACTCCTGCTACGGCCTCCAATGTGTCATGTTTGGTGTTGTCTCATCTCCAGGTGACGGTTTAATACGGGTGGAGGTGCTCAAGGTTTTGCCATTTGTCACAAAGCGTAAAAGGATGTCAATTATAATTCGTCATCCCGACACCGATCAAATTGTCCTCTACTGCAAGGGTGCTGATTCTGTAATCTTGCCGCTTTTGGATCCCCATAAAGGTAGTTACCGATATTTAGAATTTCACAACCAACTACATCTTCAGTAGATATCGAGATGTATTAGAAAGTAGTTCAGACAAGGTGAACTACCCGATAATTTTTCCTTCTTTTACGGTTACTGCTTGTTTTCCACAAATCCCCTCTACTTGAATAATACCAAAAGTGTGGATTTTTCCCCAAAAATGACTTGTCATGAGTTCGGGGAGACATTTGCCTCCTTTACAAAAGGCCAAGATGATCACTGAGTTCGTCATTTCAAAAAATGACTTTCTTAGCTGAGCTGGATTTTTCGTCAAGAGACTCTTAAAGAGTTTTTTTAAGAGGCTGCTACAAATGCATTGGTAGTTAGGCTTGACTTCGAACCTTGCTTCGTGACTAATGATGGTGATAAACCAATCTCATCCCACTGCCGTTTAATGGGGTTTTATTTATTAGCCCATCAGAGTTAGTATTACCAATTGTTTAAGGGCTGTCGAGCGATTTTGCTCGAGAGTTGGGTCGTTTACCAATCAGAATTTTGGTGTTGATTGTCTTTTTCATCCAGACAGCATTAATCAGCTCAGATAGGCTGGTCGCCTTGACACGTTACTGTTCAGCTTGTATTCTTCTGAATTACTTCTGATTAAACTGACCCTTCTTGTGTTTACCTCCCAATTTTACTTCCACCTGCTTTTACTTTTCCAAATTATTCCAACGATTCACTCCTACTCCATCAGGAAAGCAACTTCAGTGTCGAAGCTGCTCCACTGATAATTCGAGTGGAAAACAGCGTGCGCCAACTTCACCAAGCTGAAAGTGTTCGTGAATGACCGTGTTGTGTTCATCGTTCCCCTCACGGATAGAAATGTCCACCCATTGTGAAATTTCAACGACAGCATTCGTACATCGTTCTGCTAATGAACATTCACTCACAATATCTTGTCGTCGTTTGTTGGAAGCCGTGTGAATACCGGGTAGTAGTCGCGGGCTTCGAGCTTGAACTGTATGTGCACTGATCCACGCATCCCACGACGTGCGCGTTGGCTACCAGGAGTAGCAACTGGACGCACTTGGCATTCGGTGCTTATTGGTGTAGTAGCACTATAATGGAACAATGATGCTTTTTACGTGTCCGTCGATGTAAGGGGTATAGTCCTGGATTGACTTGTGCACCTTTTACGGCAATGATTTCTCATTTTCTCTCTCTTTAAGCCCCATGGATGCTTCATTAGCCTGCTTTCTGTGCAAGAAACGTTCGGTGCTGCATGAGTTGAGACCACGCCCTAGTTTTGACTTTGCTAGTAGAGGATAGTGACGTAACTTGGCAACTGTTGCTATGCTTCGCCCAAAATTTAGAGGCGACCATGTATAGAAGTCTCGGATGGAGTGGGAAACTCTGTATTAACCTTACCTTAATGTGGACATTTTCTTCGTCTATACATTAACTTTTCATTCCTACATGTAATAGAGAACTGTATCTTTCTTACAAGCTGTGTCTACTCACTACACCTTTCCAGGAGTGGTGCTTCTTCTCGCCTTCTTCTGCCATTAAGCCACTTTTTCATCGATGTGTCTGCGTTTCAAGCTCTTCTTCATGATTGAATGCTTAAAATTGCATCGAATTCCATCTAGGCTACACTTTACACATCACTGAACTGCCAATGTGATTTATGCCCTTCCTATACTATGTATAGCATTGTATGCGCGTAATTGGATTGTTGCATTTTTTTTATTTTTCTCTCATTATTTTTTAGGACAATCTTTTAAGAGCAGTACTGAGGAGCGCTTGAAAGATTACTCGCGATCTGGTCTAAGGACTCTCGTTATGGCTAAAAGGGTTAGTTTTTCTTAATGGTGAATGTTATTGCTGTATGAGTTGTGGCAGGTGTGTGTCTACACACTATAGATAGCCAATTCATTTTCGAGGATTGAAATTCACCTACCAACTTTAATAAGAGCTTTTTCTGAAAAAAAAAATGGTCCTGATTTTGAAGGCAGTTGAAAATTTGGACAAGTGTTAGGCAAGAGACAAGCCCAAAACCCAACCATTTTTACCTCAGTCACATTTTGCACGGGATTTTCCAATACCAAAAAGGTGCTGTCTCTTTGAAGAAATATTATCAGGGAAACAAAGGGGATGAGACCGTATCTTCCTCTATTTCATCTTGAAGTGTGGTATAAGATCTAGTGGATCAGCTTTATAGCAATGTTAGATATGAGATCATGCGCTGGCTTATAAGAATAACACCTTCACCTCACTGATTCACCAGTCCTGGCTGTTTCTCAAAAAGAGGTTTTCCTTGCATACCTTAGAAATGCGTCTTAGTCGCAAGTGATTAATTGCATCTGTAATCCGCAACACTCACATACACGCACATAAATACAAAGACGAAACAGGCATAATCCTCTAGAATTTCAGTGGTGTGTACCTTGAAAATGCGGAGTGGTTGATAGTGAGTGGGTAGTATGAGGATAATCAATTACGTGTGTGCTTGCTTAACTAACGATGGAATGCGAAAAAACAAAAACTTTTCCCGTTTGAATTAAGCCATTCAGTTGGCCAGTTAGCCAACAGGCCAAAATGTACAACCTTTTTTTTTCAAAGCGTGTGCGAAAAGAGATCTTGAGGCCTATTGCTCGTTAGTTATTAATGCACGGCATGCTGCACCCATTTAAATAGCTTCGTCATTTCCACGATTCCCATTCTCCGTCTCACCTAAGTGTAAATAGGATATTTCACCTTCACCCACTTGAAGCACTACAGAAAGTGAGTCTTGAGCTGTTAATTTCGGATTTCTCAAAGTCATCATTGGCACGTGGTTCTCTGTTTTACTCAAGAATGGAAGGTCTCTGAAATCATACGCACTAGATCGTTTTTGAGCGACACTTTACTCTACCATTCCATCTTCATCAAAAAGTGGATGTTCTGCAGCATTCGTGAGGCAGACACATTCATCAAGTTCAACTGATATTCTAGTATGTAAGGTTTCAAAATGATAGGCATGTAGTGCAGAGCACAATAAAGAATACCCTGGCGGTAGACCGCTGCATGTTGAAGCTTTATGATACGTACATGTAAAACAAATGAATGCATTTCGCAAACCTTTATGAGTCTTAAAATCAGAAATCCGCGCGAACTTTCTGATCGCCTTG